GAGATATCATAAATTTATATATCGTATATCTATTGCTGCTGCGAACATACTCCCCCCATTGGAAGGCGTAGGCTTTCAACCATGTCTGATTCAATCGGAAGCACAGCAATCTTGGTTATGGCCCTTTTTACAAGTCCGCTTGCAGTTCGTATAATTGCTGCTCTGACATATCCATCATCACCAGTGAATGAGCGCTCAATTCGACCTAGAGTCCATTTTAAGGGGGGTAAGTTGTCGTCTTTCAGAAGCACCATAGCACCTTGCTGTACATTTGGGGTAGCTGTACGCCACTTAGACCTCTCTTGTAGCAATGATAAATACGAAGTGCTCCACTTTTGCCAGAAGATTTGCTGCATTTGACAAATTCGCTGCCATCGGCTAAGGCAGTTCATGTTTAAATGTGTTACGTTTGGTTCGGTGATAGCTACGAGTGGTCCACCTATGAGGAAATGCGCTGGCGTAAGCACGTCAAGATCATGTGGGTTTTCTGTAATTGGACAGAGGGGGTGTGAGTTTACAATAGCAGAAATTTCACAGACCAAAGTGCGAAGCTCATCAAAAGTTAAAATGGAAATGCCAACGGTCCGATAAAAATGAAGTTTTGCGGATTTGACCGCAGCCTCCCATAAACCACCAAAGTGCGGCGACCGAGGCGGAATGAATTTCCAGTCTATATGATTTTCAATGCAAGCTTCTGCTATTGCGTTGTTGTGATTTTGATTAAAAAATAATTTTCGCAGCTCCTCCAGCTCATTCTTCGCTCCTACGAAATTTGTTGCGTTATCAGACCAGATTGTGCTCGGTTTGCCTCTAATGCTGATAAAACGCTTAAGTGCTGCGATGAATGATTGAGTCGATAAATCTTGAACAAGCTCAAGATGAGTCGCTTTCGTCGCAAAGCAAACAAAAATGCATACATAGCATTTGACAGGCGGTCGGTTGCGTACAGTGTGTTTGTAATGAAATGGTCCACAGTAATCAATCCCGGTGGTGTGGAATGTTCTGGATGGCCGCACGCGATCTTTTGGCAGAAACGACATAATTTGCTGTAATACCCGAGGCTTCAGGCGATAGCAATTTATGCATTTATTGACAGTTTTAGCGACTGTTTTGCGCCCACCAATAGGCCAGTACTGCTGTCGGATCGATGCTAGCAAACTCTGTGGTCCTGCATGCAGGAGTTTTCGATGATAAAATTCAATGAGCGCGTTGGTGACTGGATGCTGCTTTGGTAGCAAAAGCGGATGCTTTGCCTCGAAGTCCAAATTTGAATAATGAAGTCGTCCTCCAACGCGAAGTGCACCAAAATCGTCGACAAATGGATTGAGAGACAGCAGGTTGCTAGACGAAGGTAACTGTTTATTTTCCTTTAGTAGTTTGTATTCTGTTGCGAAGTATACTTGCTGTATATGCCTGATTAATAATAATGTACCACATTTTACGTCATCGACAGTAAGCGATCCAGTTGATGGTACAGAGCGTTTTGCGTTTAACTGACAAAATTTGTAAACGTATGCGAATACGCGTTGTAGCTTGCCAAATGAATTTTGAAATTTGCAATCAAAAGTTGCATCAATTCGAGGACTTGCAACCAGAACACGGCGTCGCCTTTCTGGAAGATCAGTCAAGAAATCCATGTTTCCTGGCCAGTGCGATGAATCTGTACGGAGAAATGCAGGACCATTTGCCCAAAGAAAGTTATTTAGAAGCTCCTTTGGAGCACAACCACGTGAAAGAATATCCGCAAGATTTAGATCAGTAGGAACATGATGCCATGTCATGCCCGATGTGAGGGATTGAATCTGGGCTACGCGATTGGAAACAAATATGTTAAAATTTCCAGGAAAAGACCGCAGCCATGACAAAACAATCATTGAGTCCGACCAGCAATGACATTCGTACGATAGCTGACTATTTTCCAAAATGTTTGAGACCAATTCTGCCAGCAGCAATGCGGCTGACAATTCGAGTTTCGGAACGGTGAGTGATTTCAATGGTGTCACTCTCGACTTGGAACACAGGAGATGTGTTTTTATGACACCTTGATCTTCAATACGGGTGTAAAGGCAAGCACCGTAAGCAGATAAACTGGCATCACAAAATGCGTGGAGCTGTACACGTACCTGCATAGCGAGTACGAAGCGTGGGAAGCGAAGGCTGCTAACGATGGATAGTTGACTGCACAAATCCAACCATGTACAATGCAGGGACTGCGGCAAACTTTCGTCCCAATCCAACTTTTCTTTCCATAAGGCTTGCATAAATACCTTCAAACTTGTAATTACAGGCGAAATTAACCCAAGTGGATCATAGAACCGCGCTATTACCGAGAGAATCGAACGTTTTGTGATTTTTCCCGAATTTGAAATTGGCGTGAAGCTAAACAGAAATTGGTCTGATATGGGGTCCCACACAAGGCCGAGCGCCTTTGTAACATCGGTACCATCATGAAACTTCAAGAATTGTTCGCAGTCTTGCTCATCTTCATCTTTAAGAACGACAGCTTCATTCGAACACCATTTCCGAATAGGAAAATCTCCTCGTCGAAGTAGCTGCTTCACCTGCTGCTTCATTTGCATGACTTCTTCAATCGTATCACCACCAGAAATTAAGTCGTCTACGTAAAAGTCGCTTCGAATGATTTTTGCCCCGATGGGGAATGCTTCTTCTTCGTCAAACGTAAGTTGGTGCATAGCCCGAATGGCTAAAAACGCAGCTGGCCTTGTACCATATGTCACAGTGTCGAGCTTATACATTCTTATTTCCTCTGATGGATCATCACGCCAAAGTATGCATTGCAACTGGTTATCAGGGTTAGCCATTTTAACACAGCGATACGTTTTGCATATATCACCACAAAGCGCAACCTTGAAAAATCTGAAACGAAGTAATGTGCTAAAAAGTTTCGGTTGTATAGTTGGTCCTGACAGCAACAAATCGTTTAAAGAGTGCCCAGAAGTGGTTTTAGCAGATCCGTCGAATACTACACGCAATTTTGTAGTAGTACTATCTTCTTTTCGAACACAATAGTGGGGTAGGTAGTAAACCGGAGCGCCTGCTAGTAATGATGCCATTGACATGTGACCAAGATCCATGTATTCCTGCATGAAGTCTGAGTATAAACGCTTTGTGGGTTGATCTCTTTGAAGCTTTCTTTCTAGAGCCTTGAATCTCCGTAAAGCAAGGTCGTACGAGTCACCGAGAATATCGAAATTAGATTTAGGAGGTAGCCTTACTGAATACGCTCCTGATGGCAGACGAACGTGATTTTGTACGAAATGCTTCTCGCAGAAAACATCTTCATCTGACAAGGTTGGGTTAGGGGTTGCGGCGAATCTATTGTCGACCTCCCAAAAGCGCGTGACAATGCTTGCCAGTATGTCATTACTATCTCCTAGTGGCTTTGGATTTCTGAAGGACGAAAGAGCTGTGGAGCGACTATTGAAGTGCGATACCCCTTCTGAAACCACCCAGCCTAACTTAGTTTTTTGTAGCGTAGGAAGATGGTCAGCTATCCTAACTTGCCCAACGCAAATTAGGTCATAGAAAAGTTCAGCTCCAATCAAAAGGTCAATGCGACTTGCTTTGAAAAATGTGGGATCAGCCAGTTTAATGTTATTGGGTATATTCCAGCCGTCAACGTTGATATCAAAGTTCGGCTGATAGTCGGTTATGCTTCGTGTGATTAGTGCTGCAAACGATGTTGAGAAGCTGCCATCTTGCGCTTGAGCAAAGATGTCAACACACCTATCGGCGATGATACTCGCCTCTCCGATGCCAGATATTGAAACTGGTGAGTGACAGGAACGAAGTTGAAGCTGATTCGCAAATCGAGTTGTAATGAAATTAAGTTGAGATGCGGAGTCTAAAATGGCTCGACATGGAACTAGCGTACCTGCACGATTTTTAACTAAAACGATGGCTGTCGCTAATAGCACACGCCGGCAACTAAAGTTGACTGTTGAGCTAATGATTGGCTGTTTGTGACAGCTGGGGGCGAGCTTGATGTCGGTCCACTGTCTTGAACACCATTTATATGCAACAACGAGTTATGTTTTGCTTGGCAATGCCGGCAGCTGCCCGATTTGCACTGCTTGACAGTGTGGCCCTTACGAAGGCAATTCAAGCACAAATGAAACCTTTTTGCTTCTTTATAGCGCAATTTGGGTGAAAGATTTAAAAAACGAGTACAGACATTAATAAAATGCTCCTTTGAATCGCAAAAAACACAAAGTGAGGTTGATTTTACACTAGATGCTGCAACTAGTACATTTGCTTTTGATTTTGATTGAGCTGAATTTTTGCCCACCTGTTTGCTAGGTGTCTGATTGACCATAGCATTTTCCAAATTTTCAGCCATGTGACATCTTTTTTTCCAAAAACGTTGACATCTCTAGCCAGGTCGGTAATTTTTGAGTAGACAAGTTCTCCTCCCATTTTCGTGCGTGTGTAGATCTAGTTTGCTAGTCACGAGATGAATGAGTAAGCCATTATATGTTTCTTCTGTAGTTGCCAAAGTTTGCGTTTGGGCGTTTACTTGATCGCTTAATTTTCGTAATCCGCTTGAAATGCCCTCCTCTACACGTTGTAGCCCGAAAATTGCCTTTATGTGAGCCTGAAAATTAAGCAATTTATTATCAAAACGTCCTTTTAGTAAATCTAATGCTTTGCTATAATTTTCTTCAGTGGGATCAAGTGAGCGGATGGTATCTAAAGCTGCTCCATCGAGGCTGGTGATCAAATATTGCATTTTTTCCAATTTGGACATCTCCATGTCCTTATCTATTGCTGAAGTAAATGTACTGAAGAACGATGGCCAATCGAGATATGAGCCGCTAAAAACTGGAATTTTCAGCTCAGGTAGTCTGGACCGTCGTTGGGAAGGCTGTACCGCAGCTTCTTCCCAGGAGAAGGCTCGTAGAGTCGATGAGTGCGCGCCACAAGCCTTTTGCTTAGATTTTAGTTCACGATTGAGTTTCGCTTCAAGCTCAATATATGCCTTGAAAAAGTTTTCGTCCGAATCCGACTCGAATTCCTTCCTGTCCAGTCGCTTGAGGGCTGAGCGAGCATTCTCAAAGTTTGACTGCATGCGTTCGGCATGCTTAAGCCGAGCCGAAATATCTGCTTCATCCAAACCTTTTAAGCGATCATTTGTCAAAAAGGTACTGAGAGCATCCAGCTGCCGTTGAAGGGAATTACATTCCTTTTTGTAAAACGCGATATCACCCGCTAGACTAACGCTCTCGTCACCCGATTTCGACTTTTTTGGAATTTTTAAGCAAACAAATCGAGTATTTTTGGTTTCGGTAGAGAAATATCCGCGATATAATATGCGTGCTAATAACTGAACCTATGGATGCACTCGATGGCAACGAAAATGTATGTCGAAAGCTGTGTACATACAAATATGCGAACCGAGGTTACTTCTACTTGGCAAACGATCACGAAATATTAAAATGCGAAAATTTCGATATCACGTCGGGGTCACCAAATGTTTGAGAATTAAGTAGTTTCTTAATCCTTCCAGCGACACATTTAGGCCGAGAAAGTTCTAAATATAAATGAAACACCGATGTGTCTTAAATATAAGTGCAAAGCGTTTTCTTTATTTCCAAGCCAAAGCAGAAGTGAAGTGAGCTTAGGTGAACGAATTCAATTGTACCCAAACCGGTCGCTTAAAATATTTGTACACAGTTAGCTGAGATAATTTCCACAACAATAAATATAATAGGCAGAAGGTTAGTGATAAGGAAATGCAAAATAAGATAACAAGTGCAATGC